GGGGGGTTAATTCCTGTAGGAATTTCTGAGGTTTCACACCTCAAAGGCTGAAGAGCAGAACAGTTGTTGCCTCTTTCTGTGCAGAGAGTAAAACAAAGCTACTCAGATTAAAGCTACAGACCTTAAAAAGGTGAATTTGCAAATACAAGGAGGAAATCCACAACTGGGGATATTCCAGTCAAGAGAAACAGAAGGGCTGCAGGAATTCCCAGCTGGGAACTAAAACCGAGGGAGGGTTTCTGGTAACGGTGAGAGAAGCACAAATCAGAAGAGAAGTATTTCTAAAATCCACAAACCACACACTTTCACTTTTAAAAACCATTACCAATGAAGCTTTTTAAGGAAGAGAAAAAGCTGAGGAGCTGGAAGGGATGAGGGCACTGCCCTCCATGGGGTGCCTGATCTCCATCACCTTCATTGTTACTGGGACACTTAGGTCAAGATTTAACCCTGCCCCAAGGCAGCTTCCAGTGACAAATGAAAAATCATCCCTGAAGCAAGTGCTGCAGCCAAGAGCTCGCTCCCACCTGGTGTTAACAGCAAAAAAAGTACATAGCAACAGGAGTAAAAGTGTAAGAAATTCAACAGGCATTATTTGGAATTAAAAATAGAATCGTATAAAGTATATTACAGTATTGTCTCTCATTTAAGAAGTATTAACATATTTATAGATCTTTTATTACAGAGTGATAACCTGAAGGAGATATTTAATCCATGTACAACAGAAAGAAATGAATAGAGCAGAAAAAAACAAACACTTTCCCATTCGACAACATTCTAGAGATGCTTTTTAATCAGACATTTAAGCATTAAACATTTCTCAGTAGTAGGTTAAACTACTAAATACAGTTAAGTTTCAGTGCATTGTCCAAGCAGGTGTGGAAATGCAAACACACATTCAGAGGGCTTTGGTGGAAACCTCGTGTTAACCCCTCAGCTCCCTCCAACACAGAGCAAACACCCCGCTCACAGGATTTCTGGCCTTCATGGATTAAACCAAAAACCAGGAAATCCTCCAACTATTGGTCACGCAACACTGTCAACCTGCTGAGTTTGGAAACCAAGCTTGTGTGAAGAATCTCGTAAACAGAGGGAATTTACCTGATTTTAGACACTCTTTAAATAAGCCCCACTCCTCTGAGTGAGGAAGGTGATGGTCGCTCCTCTCCCAGCCCTGCAACTGCTGCTGCTTGTAAAAAAAACATCCCAAAAAGACACTTGGGCAAAGCTTATCTTAAAGAGCTGCCTTTTCCACCACCATCTCAAGAAAAGGGAAGAAGAAAATATGTGCAACGTTTCCATAGAGCTCTGAGGAGCCCGTGGACAGCCTGGGAGCCCATCTCAAAGCCCAGGGTTGAAGCCCCACGGAGTGACACGTTGGGGTGATCATTTCTTGATCAGCAGCAGAAGGGGCTGTGAAACGGATGGGAAATAGGGCAGAGCAGCAGGGAGAGAGGTGGTACAAAGAGAAACACTTTGTGGCATCCCTGCTGGGTGCAGGGAGCTGCTGTTGGAACCAGATCTGGGGAGAAAGAGAGAGAGAGAGACGTGCACATGGGACGTGTCTCCTGCCCTGCTGCTGCCATTTCCCACGAGCAGCCTGGGACCAGGAATCCCCTCGTCTGAGACTCCTCCAGGAGAGGAATTGGCACAAGGTTTTGGCAGCTCTGAGCTCCAGAGACAGCAGAGCAGGCGTGCCACCCTGGCTGGCAGATGCCCCCTTGGGGTAACCCCACGTACACCCCACGCTTCCCACAGCATGCCCAGGGAAAACAAAGCGAAGGGGAGAGGGGCTCAAGTGCTGGTGCTTTATCTGTAGTATCTGGAGAAGCCCATCAGCAGGACGTGGGAAGTGCAACACAGGGAGCAGCCTCTGCTTCTGCTGCTCCAGCCCCACGGCTGCCAGGTTGCCCCCATGGCACCAGGGGCTCTGCCCAGCACCAGGGAGGAGCCAGCCCCAGTCCCACCTCATTCCTCCACGCTGCTGCTCCCCTAGCCCAGCCGTGAGGGCACCAACAACCCCCCTGGGCTGGGCTACGTTTTTAAAGGTTTACTGAAAAGAGCACTTATTTTGGGGGAAAAGAATAAAGTACATCTTAAATGGACATCTTGGTGTTTCAGAATCTGTATTCCAAGATCTTGACATAGCTGAGATATTAGTGAGACTCGTCACACCCGGGTTATGCAGGAGATATCTACAGGGCTACTGGAACATCTTACCAAAAGCAAAGGAAATCAGCTGAGAAACTGAGGATCACGTTTAGGTCATCCCACCAAAATCAGCATAAAAATAAAAACTTAAACCTGGTATTTACAGATTAACAAATAAAAACGTGAAGTGGGACTATCCAAACTGCTATTAAAGTGACATTCAACAATTAACTGGAACCCTGATATGAGTGTAACATCCTCCCTCTTCCCTTCCTTTTTTTTTTTGTTATAAAAACAGTATTTACACTTTTTTTTTTTTTTTTAAAGAGAACTGGTTGACATTATTGCTTGGATCCTTTTTAGGAAAGACATTCCAATGAAGCAAATACCCCACATGCTGACAAAACACAGGATATACCATTTCAAGAGTGACAAAAGCTAACGTTTTGTTCATCTAAAAATTATATTCACCTGCTTGGTCAGCAGATCACATGGAAATATAAGCCAATCAAAAATACATTTTACAAAAAAATAATCAAGTTTCCTTTTTCAATATGGCAGTAAACATAATTTGTTCTTTCACTCTCACCTTCCACAAACTTCATTCCGAACAGGAGCTGACTACTTTTTCACCAAAAAAAAAAATAATAATAAATTGGATTTAAATTGTTATTTTCATAAACAAACACAAAGCCCAGCCCTATATCTGACATATCCACTCCAAGTCACCCCCGTGGCTGTTCCCAGCAGGGAGGGCACTCTCCTGGCACACTCCCAGGTCCATCGTTAGGGTCCTCACAACCTCCTGAAGTGCTAACGATGAGCCCCAAGGTTCTTCTGCCCTGGTGGCAGCTCTGAAGCCACCACCACCCCCAGAACCTGCCCAGGTACAGCTTTGTGTTTGGCTATGAACATTAAGCAGCTTTCTCCACGGGACAGGAAGGCACCATGCACATAGCAGTTGAGGCAGGAAGCAAACAGCAGCAACATGACGTGAATTTTAGGTTCAGATGAGTTTAAGGCTTCTGTTAAACTTCTTTATCTTCTTCTAGTTAGAATCACTACCTGGAAAGGAAAAAAAAATAATGTAAATGACACAGAACAACTGGAGTGGTGGTAGGAGGTGCTCGAGGAAGCAGCCAGAGCACCCTCAGGGGCTGTAACAGGGAAGAGTCCTTGAACTGAAGAAAGGCTGAGAGAGTTGGGCTGGGGCAGCTGAGAGGAGAAGGCTCCAGCTGGGGAGACCTGCTGGGGGCTGCCAGGGGCCTGCCAGAAAGATGGGGGGGGACTTTTGAGCAGGGGCTGTTGGGACAGGACAAGGGGTGATGGGTTTAAATTAAAAGAGGGGAAATTAAGAATTTCTTTCTTCCCTCTAGTCTAGACACTGAGGGTGGTGAGCCCCTGGCCCAGGCTGCCCAGAGAGGTGGTCGCTGCCCCATCCCTGGAACCATCCCAGGGGAGGTTGGATGATGCTCTGAGCACCCTGCTCTAGCTGCAGATGTCCCTGTCCCTGCAGGGGGTTGGACTGGATGGCTTTGAAAGGTCCCTTCCAACCCAAACTGTTCTATGACTCTGAAATCCACATTACAGCTGTAGTGTCAGCTTGGTCTCATCCCAACTCATGCACCCAATGCTCCCGAGCTGCCCAGCACACTGCTGAGACAACCCACACCCAGGTTTTCAAGCTGGGCTCAAGCCTCAGCTGGTCACTGACAAAAAATGATGGAAGCACCATGAAAACACAGCACAAAACTGACCCAGTGTTGTTAAATTAAATGGTCAGGAGAAGCAGTGAGACCATATCTCCTGTGTCTGAAAACCTCCCCTCCAGAGACCCTGCTCTGCCCTGGCACAGCACCACTGGATGCTGCTGGGCACTCAGGGGATGCTGTGTCTGCTCCCAGAGGTGTGTGGCTGCCACGTTGAGGAGCCACCTTCCGTGGGGGGTTTTTGTCCCTGCACCTTCTTGCCTGGCAGAGCTGGGAGGTACCTTTTCAAACCTGATTCTCATAATGGCTCTGTCTCTTCTTTGATTTCAGCTCCTTCAGCCACTGAGGAGACTTTTCTTCTGATCTAAGAGATAAAAATAAATCACTTTTATTCTTTAATTGTGAAAGCTCATTACAGAAACCACAACAAAAGAAACACACACTTTCCCCTGCAGCCTTGGGAAGCATTATTGTGCTTCCCCAGCAAAAGCAGTGCTGGGCTGTCCCCTGGGCTGGTGGAAGCCTCTCACCTCTCCTCCTTCTCCACGCTGGAGGGCAGCACTCTGCTGCTGGGAGTTCCAGGCTGTGCTTTTGGGGACCTGAACAGCTGAGCAGAACTCACTTCACCACCACTCTCAGACTCATGCCTCTTCCGCAGCTGGGCCTAGGGAGGAAGCAAAGGGCTCCTCTGTAAGCCAGCACTTAGGCTTTTGGAAATGCAACCCCAACCACTCTGATTTACATCAAACAACAAAAAATAGCCATGTATGAAACCAGTGAAGGGAGTCCTTATAAACCTGTGAAGTTCTGAAAGCATGTTTGCTGTTGCACAGCTCCATTTTCCCCAAACCACTTCGTAGTTCTGGCCAGCAGTGAAAGGTGAGAGATGACAACGTGGGGTTTCTGCACACCACACCCCACCCCAACGCCCCTGGCATCTTCAGCAGGACAGCTGCAGCTCCTGACCCACTGGACCCTCCCTGGGGTGCTCTGCCCACACCCACCTTGAGCAGTGAGGGGTCCATCCCTGGGAACACGGGGAGTCTCTGAGCGTGGGCAGACGACCTCGCAGTGCGATGCAGCTTGTCCTCCTCATCAGAATCTTCCTCTTGCATAGTTTTCTTCTCTTCTAATTAATTAAAGAAAGCAGACGAGGAAAAAAAACAGTCAGTAGGTTTTTAATCTGTATCTTGTTCTAGATTATAGAATCATCAAATGGTTTGGGCAGGAAGGGACCTTTCAAGGTCATCTAGTCCAACACCCTTGCAGAGAACCCCGGCCAACCTCCCCTGGGATGGTGCCAGGGATGGGGCAGTGACCACCTCTCTGGGCAGCCTGGGCCAGGGGCTCACCACCCTCAGTGTCAAGAATTTCTTCCTTCTCTCTAGTCTAATTTTCCTCTCTTTTAATTTAAACCCATCACCCCTTGTCATGTCACAACAGGCCCTCATCAAAAGTCTCTCCCCATCTTTCTGTCAGACCCCTTGAAGTCCTGACAGGCTACCAGAAGGTCTCCCTGGAGCCTTCTCCTCTCCAGGCTGAACAGCCCCAACTCTCTCAGCCTGGCCTCTCAGCAGAGGGGTTCCAGCCCTCAGATCATTTTTGTGGCCCTAGATCTCTCCTTACATTCAAAAACATACTAAGGGCAATACCAACACCCCACAGGGCTGAGTTCAGGGCTTCTACAGAGATCAGAGCAACGAACACACCAAGCACTCAGCAACAGGAAGATTTCTTGCTGAGAGATGAGGGAACAGAAGGTGGCACTGCTCTAACCCAAGCTGCTGTTTCTAAACACCTCAGCTGATGACAGACCATGAGATGAATTCAGATTGGAAGAGACACCAGAAAATTGTCTGGTCCACTCCCTGCTCCAAGCAGGGCTTGGGTAAGAGAGGCTGAGGAGCAGCAGAACTCTGTGTGCTCCAGGGAAAGCTGCAATGCTGCTGCTGCTGCCTTCACATGCCCTGGTGATTCACTCCAGCTTCCAGCACAGCATTTCTCATCCAGGGGAGTCTTCAAAATACATCAAGACCTGCACCAAAGCAACCACCACACAGGCAACAGTCTCTGCACTGATGAGGAGGCTGCACAAGAGACTGGTCTGGTCACACGTGTGCTCTGTATTCACAGCTTTAAGGGAGGGCAGGTCACAAACCCAACGTTTTGAAGAGGTCCCCTCAGTTACAAAACCAGCTAAACCATCTCAAGGACCAGCTGTGACATCAGGAACTCCTCTGCTTGGGAATATGAAAGGACAGCTGCAGCACAGGCATCACCACAGCACCAAAGCTGTGGGGTTTTAACAGAATGGATGTGAAGAGTTGATTTATCTTAACTAGGCCCCTTGAGTCCTGTAGCACTTACAGATGCTATAGAGTATTTAAAAGCACCTACAGAATATGAACAATTACAGTTGCCCTTATCAGTGACACACAGGCTAAGATATAAAGAGTGTGTCCAACCCCAGCAGCTTCTGAACTCAGGATTTTCTCCGTGAAGAGCACTCAAGTCAGCAGCCAGACACTGAAGGGAGCAGCACCAAAGCCTCTCCTCCCTCCTGGTGCTCTGCAGGTCTGGCTACTGCAGCTTCCCTCGTTCCAGAGGCTCCACAGGGCACAGGGGATGCCCTGATTGAGAGGGTGACTCAGCAGTGGCAAGAGGAAGCTGCTGTTAAAACCTTGGTGAAACTTCAGGTGTGTTTTACCATTTAGAAATTCCTGTCTGTGCAGTCAAGTTAATTACAGTTAATTAATATGAACACAAGTGCTGTGAAGAGCAGCTGAGGGACCTGAGGTTGTTGAGCCTGGAGAAAAAGAGGCTCAGGGGAGACCACCTGGCTCTCCAAAAATCCCTGAGAGGAGCCTGGAGCCAGGTGGGGGTCGGGCTCTGCTCCCAAGGAACAAGGGACAGGACAAAAGGAAATGGCCCCAAGTTGCCCCAGGGGAGGTTGAGGTTGGAGCTGAGGAACAATTTCTTCCCCTGGAGGGTTGCCCAGGGCTGTGCCAGGCTGCCCAGGGCAGTGGTGGAGTCCCCACCCCTGGAGGGGTTTCCAAGCTGTGGAGATGTGGGGTGAGGGACACGGGGCAGTGGGGACCTGGCAGTGCTGGGGAATGGTTGGACTCAACCTTACAATTACTCTTGCAACCAAAACAACTCCATGACTATGATTATTTCATAGAGCAGAGGAATACCTGTGGAATCTTTAAACATCCAGCTATTATCTGGCTCTTCTGTCAAAGAAAACCTGTTCTCCAGCTCCAGCCCCCTGCTCCTGCGCAGCGAGTGGGAGGCAGGGACTCGCCGCCGCCGCTTCTTGCTGAGCTGGACACGAGTTTTCAGCACACTGGAGTCCAGGACAGTGGTTTGCTGCAAAAGAAACACAGCCTGGATTTTCAAACAGCCTTAAAATGAAGTCACCTGCTCCGTAATGACTTCCCCACAGAGTTTAATGTATTAACCCATTCAGTTTAATTAAGCTGTATATGTATTCGCCTGCTTATTGTTCTTGTAGTTACTTTAAAGGAATTTCTGATGAGGATACACTCCATGGTGGCTAACTGGGTGCAATACTGGTTCTTTGATCTCTCTTGGCTGTGGATGTCTAATCTCCATGTACTATTTTCACTACATTAATTAAAAAAATAGCTGCAATAAACAGGATTTTTGGTTCATAGAGGGTTTTAAAAATACAGGTCTTGCCAGCTAGTAACAGTTGAAGGCCAGTAAGATGAGATGTGGATCTAAAAAAGCAGGTACATGAAATTCTCTTGTAGCAGGGTGCTGCAGTTTCACTGTTCTGACAGGCTGCCAGCCACAGAAATTTCAGGCCACTCACCAGCAATAAGGACACTGCAAGTTTAGTGTCACAGCCTTGAGAAGACTCCTGTGGTCGGGCACTTCAAACACACCCATGTGACAGTAAGGCAGCAATGTTTACAGAGCAAAGAGGAGCTGCAGTGTAGTTATTTATCTAAAGCCATTTGTTGTTAGGGACTTGCCTGTAACCAGCAAACATCCCTGAGCATCCTCTTCTTCTTTTGGGACAAGAGGAAATAGGCTGAAGTTGCACCAGCGGAAGTTTTGATTGGATATTAGGAAGAATTTCTTTCCTGGCAGAGTGGTGAGGCATTGGAACAGGCTGCCCAGGGAGGTGCTGGAGTCCCCATCCCTGGGAGGCTTCAAAAAACATGTAGATGTGGCACTTGGGGACATGATTTAATGGTCATGGTAGTGCTGGGTTGATGGTTGGACTCGATGACCTTAGAGGTCTTCTCCAACCTGCAGGATCCTGTGACTTGGGAGATGTGAGTGTGTTTCTTTTCAGAAGATTTCAGGTCAACAATAAGCTATTCCTCCAAGCAGCATATTGCCCCCTGTGCTTCAAGCTATGAATGTTTTAAAGAGGCACCTTTAGCTGGCCAGGGAACAGCTCAGCACAGGGTCATCTGTCCCCACTGCCTGCAGAAGCACGGATGGGCAGAGACAAAGCACCACCCACACTGTCCCAGGCTACTGGTGCCTCCTTTACAGAGCTCCTGGTGTGCTCAGGACATCCAGCTGAGCACCAGTAAATGTCTTTATAGCCTGAGATCTGCAGGGCTCACAGCACATCACTCACTCCCTGTGTGTGTTATTTAATTCTATTTCCAGTGTTCACAGAGCCATTTAACTCTCCTCTTACAGCTCACCGAGGAGCAGAAAGAAACAGCAACTCCATCAAGCCACTGGCAGACTTCATCCAAGGCCAATGGCTTTGGGGAATCTCTCAGAACCTGAGCATTACAGGAACTGGAAGGACTTTGTAGCTTGGATCTTAAACTTTTCAGGCAGGAAGTCAGCTGGGAAAATATAATGTGATGAAGAAAAGGCACAGAGGAAGATTGAGGGCAGAGTTTCCAGAAGATAGAACTTTGCAGTGACTAATGTGGGTAAGAACACAGTTAACCCAAGAGGAGAACTTCTGCTTCCCATTGTGGCAACTTACATCAATGAAAGAGAAATCAGTGGTCTTCTCATCAGGGCAGGTGTCTCCTGGAGGAGGCAAATCAGCCCCATCAGTAGAGTCCATGTCCGTGCTGGAACGGTCCAAGCTTGTGCTCCTTTGGTCTTTTGAGAAGTCATGGTGATCAACCAGGGAGGCAGGTTCTGTTTGAGAGGACAGTGAAGAGGGGTGGCTACTTGGAGGCTGCTTCCTCGTCGAGACGACGTCGTTCTCTGAGGATGGAGATTCGGGCACAAAGCTGCAAAGGAAGATGAAACCTGTGAGACTGCAGGGAACACAAACACCCAAGGTGGTGCTTGGATGCTGCATACTCAACAGATGGTGAAGAAAGGCAGAGCTGAACTCCAGCTGCAGGTATCACAGGCACCTCTGGAGGCAGAAGGTGCCAGCACCCGTGTGGATCTCTTCATGGTCACAGCTTGGCATCCACTGGAGTTACAGCAGGCTCAATAATGCAGCCAGGCAGATGACTGACAAACTCCTCTGTCATTCATGTCCCCACCTTTTCCCTCAAAGGGTGGTTTCAATCTATCTCAAAAGCATATTTATTTTAATTCCTATTAAACTATTATTAGTCTATTATTATCTATTACACATTTCATAGAATGGGTTGGGTTGGAAGGGACCTTAAGACCATCTAGGTCCAATCCCCTCTGCCACAGGCAGAGACCTCAAAGACCATCACAGGCTGCTCAAAGACCATCCAACCTGGCCTTGAACACATCCAGTGATGGAGCATCCACAGCTTCCCTGAGCAACCTGTGCCAGTGTCTCACCACTCTCAGAGTGAAAAACTCCCAAATTTCTGATCAAGATCTCCCTTCTCCCAGTTTGAAGCCATTGCCCATCACCCTGCCACTACAAGCCCTTTGAAGAAGTCCCTTTACAGCTTTATTGTAGGCCCCCCCTGCAAGCACTGAAAAGCCACCAGAAGGTCTCCCTGGAGCTGCCTCCTCTCCAGGCTGAATGATCTCAGCCTGGCCTCACAGCAGAGGGGTTCCAGCACCCATCCATCCATATTTATATACACCATATATATGTGGTAGACCCAGAAGTTGTATTTTGCTTTATGGAATCACAAGAAGGCTGTGTCCAGGTCTGGCCCTGGGGGATGTGTGGGTGCACTGGGCTTGGCTCTGGCCACCACAGCAGCTCCAGCAGCAGCCTGTGCTCCATGCACCCCCAGCACCAGGACTCCCTTCCACTGCACAGGACTCCAAGGAAGCTGAAGCACCTGCAGCAATGCACAACACTGAGATGGACTTTTTAGATGCTAACAGACATTGGATTTAAGCAAAATGCATCCCTTGTGTTGTGACAGGAAGAAGCATCTGTTGTTGCCATCCCAAGAACAAGAGCTGTATTAGATCTTGCTTCTGCCTTCAGTTTTGGTCCATAAGAGACAGGGAACACAAGCAACAGCAACCCAGTGAACCAAGATGTGAAAGAGGAGAGAGGACACTGCCAGTTTAGGTGGATCAGATCTTACTGGGAGCTTTGGCAGCTCTTAAGCAGCAACGTGCTCACAGAGAAGTGTTATCCTTCATGGGTGCTGGATGGGAGAGGTGGCAGCAGGTGGCACCCTAAGGCAGGGCTGGAGAGCAGAGGCTTTTGGGGTGTCCCTGGGGAGGCACCCAGGGTGGCAGGACCAGCAGTCCCACGGGGTGATGCTCCTGGTGTGTTCCTAAAAACCCTCCCTTTGCCTAAACAGAAATGGGCTGTAGTGTCAGGACCAAAAGCTGTGTGCAGTGAAGTGTCTCCCTTGGCCATGTGGGTTGGGCTATTCCTTTAAGAGCAGGAGATTGCAGGAAACAGACTCCACTGTCAGTAAAAATCTGGCTGCCTTGCTTCTAATTTTAGGAGTTTCTAGTCTAAAACCCAAACCCCAAAGTATTTATGGAATTCTGATTTCTATTCTCTTCTTAACAAGAGCCTCTTGTTACTAAGCACCTTCCCTTGAGCAAATATGTAGGAAAACTGCTCTAAAACAAACAAACAAAAAAAATAATTGAAAATGTATGTCTGCATACATGCACATTTCTTAAAACCCAGCCCTGAGGATTTGGTGCAGCCTGCAGCAATAGCTCCCAAAAATCTCAGGAGGCAAACGCTGGGGAACCTGCTGTTGAATAACAGCTCCCAGCACACAGCAGCACATGGTCCTGGCCAGCAGGGCCAATGCTGCACGGTCCCCAGCACACGAGGGCACCGAGGGCCTCTGCCCTCCCTCACCACAGGGCCCCAGGATAATTAACAAATGCTACTAATGAGCTCCAGGGGGAAGGTTTTGTCTAGTGGTTTTGCTTCGAATGATATGTGGGATCTGCAGTGCTGGGCTTTAGATCCACCAGCATATGGAAGAAAGGGGGAGAGGGAAGAATCTGCAGACCCACCACCTTCCATGGAAATTAAAACGTGTATTAAAAAGCTCCTGTCTGATTTCTGTGTCCCCAGGAAGCCCCTTCCCTCCTACTCCCCAGGGCTCCAGCTAACAGAGCTCAGAGCAGTTTTGTGAAGTGAAGCATCTGAAAGCAAGCACTGATGGGAACACAGATGAATTCACACTGCTCCATGTTCTCCAGTCCCCAAACCTTGCTAACAGACTCCCCCTGGGAGCTCTTGCACCATGACAGCCCCGTGGCACAGTGGCAAGGATGACTTGAGGCCAAACCCCCCATTCTACACAGTGGGTTCTTTCCATCCAACCAGCAAATTAAGGGGAAATTTCCCTTCAGAATAATGGTCAGATATTGAAATTTAAAACATTTTCCATTCTCATTACTGAGATGAATTATGCACCCTTTTCTAGCACTTCATTAAGACTTCAAGTTTAACGAGCCTGTCTGTAAGCACCCAATGTTCAGCA